TGTTCTTCTGCTGGATTTGGGAATTTATAGAAGTTTTTTTTTTAATTATTTCCACCTCTTAAGTAAATGGTAAAACTCCAGGGAAATTCCACTCTATTCAGCACTTCACTGGGAGCCCAGGCCCTGATTGTGTAACAGGATTTACACAGCCTTGTGCTGTAAGTACAGGAATTTGGAGATGTAGGATTTGAGTGGAATCTCCCCCTTAATGAGGAAGAAAAAAGTAAGAAAGATAATTTGAGTACAGGTGGTTTTTTAGAAAATTAGAAAACCTATGTAAGTAGGTTAAAATATTAAAAAAGTATAAATTATTCCCTTTAAAAGAGGGGTTTGAAAGTGCTGTTTGGAAAAGTTATTCCTGCTTTTTTTTTTATTAAATGCAGCAATGTCTGGATATTTCCAGTATTCCATAGGGATTTTACATGAATTAAATCATTATAAGCTTATTAAAATGTAATGGAAATATTTAGGGGTTTTTCCTTCTTTTGAAATGTTAAGATTTAGACTGATTTTGAGACGCAGCAACAAAAAATTAATAACACTGAGCAATTTTGGTTTGATCTAATTTTAAGAACAGCTGATATTTAAAATTTTAAAAGGTAAAAACATAAAATCCCTACACTAAAAACTTTTAAAAAAATCTAACAATAAAAATTTTGTATGTTTAATTATTCTGCTCCTGCACATTTGATAATTTAAAATTAAGAATTGTTGGAGTAGACTTAGAGGAAGCTGGAAAATTTAAACAGCAAACATTTAGCTCAGTCAAAAAGGACTAAATATGTAAAGTGCCAGCTGATTTCAGCAGTATTTTTATTTTTTACTGCCTTTTGCAACCATAAAATATTTTTAAGCTACAAAACCTGGGACAGAGCAGATAAACAAGAAGACACCAAAGTTTGGTGATACTCAGTAATTTCTCTGTTCAGTTTTGTAAATCAGAAATAAAACCTGAAATTCTCTGCTCAGTGTCCTTGATTTCAGCATTTGGGACAAATCAAAGTCTGATTTTTCTTGCCTTGCAGGTGGAATTCCAAGGCATGGTGATAGAGCCAGGAGGGTGAATTTCTCATTTCACAACAGTTTCAGATTCATGTCAAGTTTCTGGAAATAATCCAGGAAAAGGGATGGTGCAGAGCTTAAATTGTACTGCTGGGAGCAGCAAATGGTTCCATTTATTTCACCTAAAGAAAAATTTGGGATTTGTAGGATAGCTAAAAAAACAAATCAGAATCCAGTGGTTAAGGATTGTTACAGGCAGAGTGAGGAGAAATGAATTTGAACCTTTAAATCACATTTACACAAATGTGTGCCAAACGCAGAGAGAAAAATTCAGTTTTTCTTTCTGGAACCTTGGCTGTTATTTCCTAGAGCTGTCCCAGGTCCTGGGGAGCAGCAGGTGAGTGATCCCAGCTCATTTCCCTCCTTCCCCTTCGGATCCTGCCCAAGAACTTTTCTGTCCTGAGCCCCTCCCTGCTGTTCCTGTTCTCCAAGGAGCCTTTGGGGATTCCTTGTTGGGAGAAGCCACTTGGAGATGAGCAGAATTTATCAAGGAAATGTCAATTAAAGGGTGATGGCTGAGGCTGAAAGGGGAATTAATGAATGAATTCCTCTTATTTTAGCACTCCTTCCTGCACTTTGGAGTCAGGAATGCCAAACCCAGTCCCACTCCCAAGTGTTCCTTTGTCCACACCCCAAATTCCAGCCACCATCTGGAATTTCTTGCCCAGCCTGGAGGGTGAGTCAGGAACCAGAACTGATGGCACAGCTGCACTGGAACATGAGACTCTCATCACAATATATTGCATTTATTTGGCCTGGGCTTTGGTTAAACTGGAAGAAAAGGAATATTAACCCTTCAGTGAGATTTCTCAGGTGTCCAGGCGTGGAGTATGGAATGTTCAAGGTGGCTCAGGAGGAATGTGGTTCATCCTGTCCAGTGGGAGGGCAAGGGCTCACCAGCAGTGAATATTCCTCATTAAATCTAATGGGGTCATGCCAGTGCAAGTTAATACATTGTCCCTTAATATGGTTTATTAACCTCCCTGTGAAAAGTACAGTGCTACAGCACTGCATCTGCAGAGCCTGAGCAAAATGCAAATTTTAACTTATTTCATTGCCACTTTCTTATTCCCTTCAAGTAATTCCTGGCTTTCCAAGTGATGTTTGCCTGTTATTTTTTGGCCTGGTTCTTAAAACCCAGTGTTTTCAAGGGAAGGAAATCAGCTGCATTCTGAGGCTGACTTTTAAATGGTTTGAAAATATTAGGCAGCATTTCTAGTGCCTTAAAATTGGGTGAGAGAACAAAATGAAGCCTTGAGACTAAAGTTTAAGTACCCCGAGCAAGCTTTTTTCTAATTACTGTAGCTTAATACCAGAGGAGTAAAAAAAAAATAAATAAAATCAATATATTTTACTTAGATGAGTTCTCCAAGTGCCTGGTACCACTGTGCAGACTGTAATATGTAAGTTTGGTAAGAAATGACCAAAAATTAAACTGGTAATTTAAATTTCTCTGTATTTTCTCATGTTCTGTGTGCAATTGCCACAGCACCTTAGAATGCTGCTCACTTGTAGTAATTGTCTTTGTAATTAGGCTGAAATATCCACTTTGCTGTTCTCTACATGAAAGCACTGAAATAACTGAGCAGATTTTAGCCAAATTACATTTTCCCTGAGTTTCTGATAATTCTCCATGTGCAGATATATGGAAATGTAAGGATCTTGTTCCTGAATCAGTCAAGTTTTTATGCCAAACACTGAAAATTGGGATTAATCCTGATGGATTAAACAATTCATATCCCTGGTGGTGACTGCCAGCGGAGCTGTGGCTGTTTGCAAAGACACCACAATTCCTTTGGAATTCCACCAATTTGAAAATTACAGCCTTCAAAAAATTATAGTTACAGTGCTGCTGTCATTTCCTGCAGTCTTTTTGAACGTGAGCAGGGAATCAGCTGGAATTGTGACCTGCAAAGAGATAATCCAGGCTCAGACAGGCTGTCACTCACCTTTCCTCTGCAACAAAGTGAGCAGGTAGCACTGAGACATCTCCTTAATGAAGTGGCTTTGGTGCCTTTTATCTGTGTGAAGGACAAAATTACCAGGATTCTTGCTTAATGATGGTGTCATTTTTTTTTTCTCCCCCAGTGTTTACAAAAAAAATTAAAAAAAAAAATATCCAGCAACATGAAAGACTCCCAGCAAAATGGTCTGCATGGTTAAATTAGAAAACTCTGTAGGGCTGCAACATTCAGGTCTGTATTTAAAATGACAGAAAAACGTGAAGTTACATCAGTAATAAAAGTAAATTCAGGAAAATGCTGCAATGAGTGCTGTGAGCTTTCAAATAGGGGTTTTTTTCCAGCTTTTTTGAATCCAGAAATCTGATTTTTGTTTTTCCCCACATCTGCACCAGGGGTTTTCTGACTGCAGTTTGAGGGGGGCTTTCCTTGTTTTCCAGGATATTCCCAGCACATCCGTGAGCACATCCCTGACCTTGCTCTCCAGCAGAACCTGCAGATGGGGAGGCTCTGTGACATCCTGGGTACGTGCTCAGCTCCTGCTCTCTCATTATTCCCCAGCTGCCCCTGAAAGGAAACAGCACAAGGACTTTGTTTTGGTATTAATATTAAATATAGAGCGGGGAGAAGCTGAGAAGGAATTGTGGCATTTCCTGGCCATTTATCCATAAAAATTCCTGCTGCTGCCTCCTTGCCCCTCTGTGCTGGGGTGGAGCAGCTGCTCCTGTGAGCTGCTCAGCACCACAGAGGGTTCAGTGCTCCCAAAATGAGGGAGCCCATTCAGGCTCACACACAGAGAAAGGTGTGCTGTAAAGAGCAAGCCCTTATCTAAACCCTTTTTTTTCCCTTTTAAATCAGCAAATGAGACAAAATGCATCTATTTAAAATTTGTTTGGTTTTTTTTCCTGACAGGCTTCTTTTAAGCAAAGTAGGGAAGGATATTAGTTAGCAGTGACCAACTGCACTGGCTCCCTGGAATGACATATTTTACATGATTCATGTATATTTCAGGATCATGATTATTTTATAAATGCCATTTAGTAAGTTTGGAACAGAAATATATTAGATCCAGAAATTTACAGTTGCCTAAAATAATAATGTAATTGCCTTTATATATTATCCAGGCAGTAATACTGTTTTTTCCACTGTACTGTTTTTTTTCTTTTTTTTAACATGGATTTTTTTGGCTGTTAAATGATAGAAACTTAAAGGGACAAAGTCACACATTGAACAGAAAATTTGTTCTGCTGTAAGATAGACCACGAGGAAGATACAAACTAGTGAAATATTAACTGAATTATGAACTGGATCATGTGCTTTACCTGTGCCTGGCAGAGGAGCACTGAGATTTTCCATTTTGGTTTGGTTTTTCTTTGGAAAAGCAGAGGATTTCCTTGCTGGCTGTGACCTCCTGTGAGTTAAGCTGTCCCTGGAGCCCCCCTGTGTCCTGAGGAGAGTTCATCTCTCTTCACAGGGCAGTGCTACAGCAGTAAAATGTGCTGCAGCTTTTTATTCCCCAAATTCACTCAAATTGTTCGTTTTGCACTTGAGTATTGACTGGTGAATGGTGCTGAACTCTTCCATTGGTTACTTTTAAAAGTGATCTGGTAAATCATTATCTAAACACTCTGCTTGTGGGCTCTGTGGCACTTCAATGCCTCAGGTGAGTTCTGGCCTCACATTTCAAACATGGATTATTTCCCTGCAGCTCTGGCAAAAAACAAAGTCGAGCCATGGGATCTCTCTTTCACTTTCCAACATTTGGTTCAGGGTTTCCTTGTCCAGTCCTTGCTGTGCTGCAGTCCTTCCATGGAATTGCAGTTATCCCTGGCACTTGTGCACAATAAAACAATGCAAGGCTTCCCACTGATTTGGATCAAAATCTTGGAGTGCTCTTTGCCTATCGATGCCTCAAGGCCCATTAATTCATTAGCTCTCCTATTGCCATTAATATTTGAGCAGATCAGAGTGGTTACAATTTTCCCAAACTGCCTGTGTTACAGATTCTCCTTCTGTGTGGACACAGCCCTTCAGCCCAAGCTGTTTTCCATGAGGAGAAGCAGATTTCCACACCGTGCTGCCCTGCACACTGCCATGCCAGCAATGGTTATTAATGATACCCCACCCTGAGCTTTTGTGTGGGCAGCATGGGAGTAGGAACAGCCCATGGAAAATCCAGGCAGCGTAGAAAATTGCAATTTCCTCAGCTTTCTCAACTGAATGGCTCAGTTTTATAATTTACTGGCATTAATGGGGATATATTTTTCAAGCAGTTCAATTCCCATTGATGTTAATGGGAGCTGGGCTCACAAATCCCCCTGCACCACTTCCCAAATCCTGCCCCCAATATGTTCTGCAGATTGAATCCCAGGAAGCAGCTCTTCCTTTGGGTCACTGCCCTGGCTTCAGGGAAATGCTGAAGCACGGCAAAAAGCCCTAAGATGTGGGAATGATTCCCCATTTTCCTTTATTTGCAGTGCATTTTGAGGGGGGCTGTTGGTGAGCAGAGGGTTGGGGATGCTGGCACTGCTGTTGGGAGCGTGGCACCTTTGTCCCAGCAGTGAGCACTGTGCCCCTTTGTTTCAGATGCCAACGTGGACGTCATCTACATCTGCCCCCTTGCTCTGAGTGAGGAGTTACTGCAGTATTACAATAAACTCCTGGGTCTGCAGGCAGCTGTTAGATCTGGGAACCCTGAGGACATGGCTGACCTGCAGGACAGGTTCAAAATTCTCACCCCTGAAGCTATAAACAGCTTCCCTGTGAGTTTGTCTTCTAATTACTACAGCTTGAGGGATGCAGTAAAATTAAATTGGAAATTTTATAACTTGCAACGCTCTGGTACACATCAGTGAAATATTATTGCAAGTTTAAGGGCTTTACTGATTAGACTACTAGTTAGAGCATTGGAAATAAATATCCTGGTTTAGCTTTATAGACTTGCTTGAGATAGTCCTAGATTGGCTATTTGTAGGCTCTTGTCCCTTCTGACTCTGTGCTTGGGACTGGGAACTTGACAGATTTATATCTCTAAGCAAATCATGGCAATAAACCATTCTTATTACTCAAACTTTATCTCTGGCTAGCCCAGCACTCAATCATTGCTGTGTTTGCAGGGCTCTTGCAACTAAATCCAGTGCAGAGCTCCTTAAAGAACAAGGCTTAAACAAAGTTAGGTAACAATACAGAAATCTGAGTTTCAAACAGATCAGAACAATACATAAATATGAGTTCCAATAATACAAAAGTGATAGTTCCAGAATAACAATTAATAATAGAGAAATATTAGTTCCAAACCTGTCAAGTCAGGTTTAATTTCATGTGCTAAAGCATGTTCTAATTAATGTACAGTGTGTTCAGTGTTTCTGGAAATGCTGCAGTGCAGTGGAGACTTCACAGTGAGCAATAGTTTTATATTCTAAAATTTATATTCTAATTTAAATATCAAACCCACATGTCTTGGCTGGGATTAGATTTTTATCAAACTTTGTGGCACATTTAGGGGCTTTACTTGAAGCCTTGCTGCTGGTTTTGCTATTTTTTCTTTTTAAGTTGCACTTTGGCAGTCATAGCAGGTTTTTTCTCTGGACGCTGGGTTGTTTTTCCAATAGTAACTCCCAACTCTGAATTAATGCCAAAATCTCTCAGGAGAATGGGCAAGACCAGATTTTAGGTGAACCAGGTTGAGGTAACCCATGGCTCTTTAGTGCCACACACCTTTAATGTGCAAAACCCACCTGGTTTTCATTTAACATGTGCTCTTTACCATGTAATAATCAATATTTTTAATGAATACATCCTCTGTGTGGAGAGGAATCTGCTCAGAACTGCTCCTGGTCATCCCTTGGCTTCAGTGCCAATGTGGGCTGTGTAAGGGTTTGAGTTTTATAAGTTATTATAAAGGATCTTTCTCCTGGGTTATTGAAGAAAAAGCTTTTATTGCACCTAATGGATCAAAATTTATTCCAAATCAATGAAATTGTGGCTTGAAGGCCACTTCAGAGGGCTCCTTTTAGCAATTCCAGAGGCACAAATCAGTCCTGCACAGGAAAAGGCGTGGAAAAGGCAGAGCTGGTCCTGATCCTGCACTTGAGGTGTGTCCAGCTGGAGGCAGCTTTGCTCCCCTGGTGATCCTGGTGCCAAGGGCAGATCTGGGATCTTGGGAAGCTGAAAACAAAACAAAAATCAACAGGTTTGAGAGCCAAGAACTTTGGTTAATCCCATATCCCCTGTTCCTGCTGGAATCCCTCAGTTCTGCTCTTCCCTGCTCTCCCTCCCACCTCCATGTACCCTGGCAGCTCCAGCACTCTCAAAAAGCAGCAATGAAGCAGCTTTTACAGCCTGACCTCCTTAATTAGCTGTAAAATCCATTATGGAGGGACACAAAGCAAATCTCCTCCCTCAGCCCCGCTGTGGCCCCAGGCTGGGAATGGATCCTGGTCCCTGCAGGCAGAGCTCTGGGATGGGCCAGGCCCTGCCTGGGACCAGGGCTCAGCTCAAGGGAATCCATCCATGGATCAGGCCTTGGAATGTCTTGGCTCTAAAGCTGGTGCAAGCAGAAGGGCTCCAGGTAACTTGTTTGCTGTTCTTTTCATCCTGAAACTGCTGTAATTCTCTTTTTCCTGCTGGAGCTCTGGGGAGTGTCCCATTCCTGCTGGCCTTGCAGGGTGCCTAACTCCTTCACAGAGACCTGGGCACTTTCTGGAGCTGTGTTTGGTGTGAGAAAGCACCAAGGAGGTTCCTTGGCTTCTTGTCCAGCACCATCCTCCCTGTCTGAGCGATGAAATCAGGATTTCTACTTCAGTCCCTGGCAATGAACATCCAGGACTTGGAAGGAAAATATTCTGTGTCCTTCAGTGCTGGAAATCCCTGGCAAATCCAGCATTTACATTATCCTGAAAATCCCTGAGGCCTAAATGAGATGAAATCTCAATAGGAAGATGATTTTCTCCTTGTTGGGATCATGATTTGTTCGTGACAATTTATTGCAGTGGATTGCTCTTGTGAAAGTTCTCCATCCCTGTCTCATCCTCAGTATATTTTTGGGAAAATAATTGGAATATATGCAGGCCATGCATGGGATATGTTGTTTAAAACATTTCTGAGGTTTCACCTGTCATGAGTGATATTCTTAATTTAAATTCAGAGTTCATAGAGTAAGTCATGAGCTGCTTGTTCAGCAATAGATCTTTTTTTGGAAAGAAATAAGAAATTCCTTCAAAAAAGTTAGAACCCTTGTGTTTTAAGCAAAAAACCTACTACAAAACTGTTCCCCTCTCCTTAAGTGCTCCTTTAGATCAGCAATCAGAGCTCCTGTGAAATGGAAATGTGCATCCCCAGTAATTTAATGTAAGCACTGAAAGCTTTTGTAAATCAAAGTGTTTTATTCTCAGAGAATCACTTCAAATACCCTGAACTGTATGTGAAATACATTCCCTGCTATAGGGGAGGGGGGGATTCTTCATTTTTTTATTGATTTTGAGGAGCTCTGGAGTTAAACCATGCCAGGAGTGTTGCTGAGATGAATCACTATTATCCAAAGGCCAGCAGCCTCTGTGCCTGACAGAAGGATAATTCCACACGGATCAAATAAATACAGATGTGTAGTAATTAGTTCTATTCCCAAAGAGGCCATTTCCAACCCACTAAAGATGTGCACGATTATGGAGCCTCACCCCAACAGCTTTTATCAATTTAAACTGCTAAGCTACAGGATAGGTCATAACCCAGCCTGCTATTAATAATGTATTTATTGTGGGCAACATTAGGAATTAGGGGGAGGGAAAAAAAAAACCCAACAAAAAACCCACTTTTCATCAGAATAAATGTTCTCTTTTTGCAGGAGCATCACATGTGCCTGGCCACTGTGCTCAAGTACAGCCCCAGGACAATGCAGAGGCTCCAGGCTCTGCTCCAGGGCAGGGTTGCCTACATGGTTGGGGGTGTTCCCCACCTGGATGATCTGGCTGTGGCTGACCAGCTCCAGGTGCCACTTTTGGGCTCGGAGCCTGCAGTGGCTCAGCTCTACAGCACCAAGTCTGGCAGCAAGAGGATCTTTGCCAGTGCTGGAGTGCCAGTCCCTCCTGGAGAGCAGGACATCCACAGCAGGGAGCAGGTGAGCGCTGGGCTCGTTCCAAGAACGCCACTGATGAGAGAGAGCCTCATCAAGGAACAACAGTTTTATATTGCAAATATTAAACTACAGTGCCCGGGCTGGGATTTGATTTTTAGCAGACTCTGTGGCACATTTAGGGGCTTTGCTTGAAGCCCTGTTGCTGGTTTTGCTAATTATTTTTCTTTTTTAACTGAGCTTTGAAAGTCATAGCAGGTTTTTTTCTGGATGCTGGGTTATTCTTTAATGGTGACTCCCAGTAGTTTTCCAGTAGTAACTCCCAAACTCTTGTGGGTTTGATCAAGTCTTGGGTGAGGTTGGGTCCCTTTGTGGCTCAATTAAATGCAGTTTGTGCCCAAGGCAGGAAGGAACACAGTTACTCTGGGGTTCTTCATGGGCTTGAAGATATAAAAGTGTTTGGTCCAATATTTGAGACAGTTTGTGCTGGTGAAGTCATGAAATGAATCCATTTTACCAGTGAATGAAGGTGCACATTTTCCAAAAATCCTTGTTCTAAGGGGAAGAAACCTCCCTGCAATGAGCCTGTTCCCACTGAGGTTCACTGGGCATCTTTGCAGTTTTACTTTGCAGCCTATCATTGCTAAATTCATCTCTCTTGTTGGCATGACCAGTAGGAAAATAACAAAACCCCATTGAACTGAAATTACGAGGCACAAGAGGCTTCTGTGCTTTCATTTTACATGTTTATTTTGCAGCCAGTTCCTCAGTATTTTATTCTCTAAGCTGATGTTGCAATTTACAATGATGTGTCTAAGTATTTATTTAAAAAAAAACCCCAACATTTTTATGGTGTAGTGTTACATCTCATCCAGGAAAATAATCATTGCTAAGGGTTTTTGTAGGTGTTCCTGCTTCTTCAAGAGGCTTTTCTCATTTCTTTAGTTTTTATTAATCACCTTTAGCACTGAACAGTCTAAGCTACACAAATCCATTGCTACTTCTCCAGTAGATGAAATAAATATATGATCAATGACCTGCAAAACAGCTGTTTGATTTATTTGATTCACGTAAATTATTTAACAATACTTCTGGTTCATCCTACAGGTTATGGAATTTCTCCTTCTGTTGTTTGCTTGTATGAAATATTGACATTTTAGGTTAAATAATCAAAGTGAGGTGACACCATGGTAAAGCACAATTCAATTTTCACTTAAAGATAGCACATAATTCTTTGTGATTGGTACAGTCCTTACAGGATTATTGATCCTTTTCATTACTGTAGGGGGAGCCCTCAAGAAAAACACATTTATGTGATTCTCAAAAGCCACAAATGGAACACATGTAATTGTATTTTAGGTCAATCTTTAAAAAAAAAAAAGAAACAAAAATCCCTCAAATTACTCTGTAAAACGTGGAAGACTCCAGCCAATGCAACAAGATCTGAGAATACTTTTACCAGGTTCAAAGTCATTTGCAGTTTCTAAGAAGCTAATTGCATCCTGCACCAGCTGGGCAAAAGGCATTTGAAAGCCATTTAAATCTGTGTACATACACAAATAAATAATTAGCATTTTTATAAAGCCTGCCTGGTACCTCCTCCGTGCATTTATAACCATGGGCTGCGCTCTCCAGCAGCAGAATTTCCCAGCTGTTTGGGCTGGTGCTACCCTGGCACATTTTTGCAAACAGCATCGTCCACCCCACATTGTTCCCTGTCACAAACGGTTGTGGAGGACTCCTGGTGATCCAAAACATCAGACAAAAACAAAAACCAACACCTGGGCAGGCAAATTCCTCTGTGCAGAAAACAGGGATGTCCTCAAAGGCAGCTTTCAGTCCACACCCAAACAGCTGTGACACAAACACCTCTGAGAAAAGGAACCCCTATTGTTGGATTGTGCCCTTTCCTGACCCAGAGATGGGGCAACTGAGAGGCTTTTTAAAACTTTTATTCCATTTTCAGACAATGAAGATGTTATAATTCATGCCATTCCAATCAGAAGCCAACTATTTCCTAATTACATTAAAGTGTTTCTTGGCCTATCAGCTTTAGCCACACCATGCTGTAAATGCTTTAAAGCCAATAGTCTAAAATTACCCCTTGTGGGTCCTACCACAATGCATCTTTCACAGTTCTATTTCTCTAAAATATCTAGTTTTATTTGTAAGGCCATCCTTTGAAATTGTTTCTAGTTCTTTCTCTCTCAGCAGTGTCTGTCCTGTTCCATGGCATTTCTAAGTCAGCATTTCTTATCTCAAGCTTTGCATATGGATGCCCACTATGTGTGTTCTGTCAGGCTTTGAGAATCTCCTACAAATCCATTTCCCACATTTCCCCCTCTCTCTTGGACAGAAAAAACTTCTCTGATGGTTTCATTCATGGATTGCTGTGCACAGTGAAGTACACAGGGCTTTATCACTGACATTGTCACTATAATAATCAATTTATAGAAACTTATTTTCATAAATAATTATATATAATATTCTATACTAGATAAAATATAGTGTATATATTATCTAATATAATATATAATATTTTATATATAAAATGTATTATACTATATATATCACACAGGGCTTTATCACTGGCATTATAATAATCACTATATTATTTTATAATATATATAATATAATATAGTGATCTATTATAATATAATAGATCACTATATTATAATAATCACTATATTATATTATTATAGTCACTATAATAATCAATGAATAGAAACTTATTTTAATAAATAATTATACTATAAATAATATATAATGTCTAAAATATAGTATGTATTATCTAATATATAATATTTTTGTATAAAATATATAATAATCAATGTATATAATCTTAATAATCAATATATAGAAACTTTAAGCTCCTTTAGCCAGGGTGCAAAGCTCTGTTTTTCAAATAAGTCATCTAAGTAAGTCATCACCCTATGTGAGCCTTCTGTCAGGGTGCAAGAATTGTCTACAGATCCATTTCCCACACGTATTTAGGAAAATAAATAAGTGTTAATAGATGTCCCAGATCAATATTTGGGAGCTGGAAGCGTGAAGGGTTTTGTGTCCCTGCCCTGCAGCTGCTCCGTGCCCTCAGCCAGCTCGTCCTGGACCACCCGGAGGTGCAGCGCTGGCTCCTCAAGGTGGATGGCGAGCGTGCAGGAGATGGCACTGCCTTCTGTGATGTCACTGCCCACCTGGAATGCTACCCCTGGATCCAGAGGGAGCAGCAGGGACACGGCCCCGCGGCGTGGAGCGACAGCCAGGCCCGCGTGAGTAACCCAACTGCACCTTCTGCGTTGGCGTGGCTCTTCAGTGTCCCCTGAGGTCCCTCCTCGCTGTAAATCCCCTCCCTGAGCCTTCACTGGAAGGTAAATATGGATATCACAGCCCAGCCTGGCTTCACAAAGCAGCAGCAATTCAAATAAAACAGGGAAATAGTCCAAAATATTCCAAAATATGAAGGAATGCCTGGCAGCCACCTGAGGGAGGACTTGTGTTGTAACACTTCCTATGCAATAATGGACAGGGTTTATACATTTTTTGTACAAATGTTATACATTTTTTTAGCTAAGTGAAGACATATAAAGGCAAGTTTATAGGCAGCACAGCCTAAACTCCATAGAAAATTGGAATTCTTTCCATAGAAATTTGGAATTATTGAAGCAAAGATTAATTGGGATTGGGATTAAAATAGCTGAATGCCACTAATTTGAAATCATACAAACTGATTGCTTTTTCAGCTGGTTTTCTATGGATTATTTTTTTCTGGATGCTCTGCCTCATTAATAACTTTTAAACCTGTATGAGACAACACTTGTAGGTTTTGGTGATCATTAAGCTGCTGTAAGTTTTATTACTATGGGTGCTCAGGTAAGGAGAGCCATCTATAAAAATCTAACTAAGGGAAAAATTAGAGCATGAACTCAGGCACTCCTGGATTCCTAAGAATCCCCAGGACTGAGAGGCTGGAAGATGATCCATTTTAACTGCAGAAAAATCCATGTGAATCCACACTTCATTATTCTGGCATTCCAAGAACTATTTGTAGTTTAAATATTCATTGGTATTTAAATGTGTTAATTTCAATAAGCATTTGATATTTCTGTATATCTTGCCAAATTCATTCCTAATGTAATGGTTTTAAAGCCAGAAGGAATGTATCCAGAAAAATTGTTTAATTTACATAAACTACTCATTATAGTTCCTCTGATTTTTTTTAAATTCAATCAAAACGGGTTTGAAATTTGAGGTTGATTGAATTATATTGTATATTAAAGTTTCAAATTGGGCTGATTACAGTTCTGCTGCGTTTGACAGATACCAAATAATTCCACATTATAAAACAGAGTTCCTGATAGAAAGCTGAAGGGATAATTCCTCTGATCTGCAAGTCAGGCAGGATGAAGCAGACCCTGAAAATCCACCCCAGTGGGACACAAAGCTCAAGATGTGTCCAGGGCCTGCTCCCAGCACCTCAGTCAGGACACAGCCAGGAGCCAGCAGTGCAGTTCTGTCCCTGATATCGGGGACATTCCCTGTGTCTGTGCCTTTTTCATTCTTTTCCTAAGTGCTTCTGCATAAAGGCCACAGTGAGCCCAGACTTCTTTTTTACTACCTTGAGCTTGGGTACAACCAGTGAGAAACCCTTAAATACAAACACATGTTGGAAGTTGGGAAATAAAGGTGAGATAATGAATTTGATCTCATTTCCCAGAGTCAGCAGACAATTCCAGGCCAGGGCTGACGTGGGCTTTGCCAAAGTGTTGTCCAGAGAAGCTCTGGGTTCCTGATCCCTGCAAGTGTCCCAGGCCAGGCTGGACAGGGCTTGGAGCAGCCAGGGATGGTGGGAGGTGTTGGGATGGGATTGATGCCTTGGGGAGGCTGCCCTGGAGCAGAGGCTGGGCAGAGCTCCAGAATAAAGCAGGGATTCATTCCAAGCATCTCCTCCATGGATCCACCTTGGGCAGCACCAGAGCCCAGCCAGGGCTGCACCCAAGATGAACCCAAATGGCCCCAAAATGCACGGCCGGGCACGGGCTCTGTCCCTGGGATCAGTTCTGCTCCATTTGCACCTTGCAGTTCATTGTCCCATTCCAGCTTTAGCCCCTGCAGTCCCACCCTGCTTGTTTTTCTCTCTCCAGCCCACGGGGTTTGTGCTCTTGGGGCTGAGATTTGGGTCATTTGTCCTTGGTGCCCAGCTGGAGCAGGAATTGTTTTGTGTCCCTGCTCTGTGCACAGAGCTCACCATCCCTCATGTGAAGCCCAGACCCACTAAAGCAGCACAGAACCTGAAAAATATAAAAGCTCAAACCTGAGGCATCAGGATGATCCTGAAAATCCCTCCCAATCCAACCTTTCTGTGATTCCAAAGGGTGGAATTTGCTGCTGTTTTGAGCACCTTGAACATTTCTCCAATTTCCCTGCCTTCCACGTTTACCCTCTTTTGAAATAAGGACTCACAGCCCTCCCCAGCCTCAGCACAGGAGAGCAGGGGATTAAAACACTCCTTTGTCAGGGAACACCATTGTAATGATCCACATTTAAACATCAAAGCAGGAGTTTGTGCTTTCATGTCCTGGTGCAGTGTGAGGACCTGGTTCCTTTGATAATGAAGACGTCGTGTCAGTGCCACACACAAACGGATGCTGGCAGGTTATTAAAAAATTCAGCTTCTTGATGAAAGACTATCCTGCAGGCTAGGAGCACAGTGAAAAGCCTCTCCATTCTGGTGGAATTATTAGAAATGAGAACATGACTGTAAGCACTAAATTATGGTAATACTTACAAATAGCATCATTTGCATAGCAGTTTAAGACACGCCACCCAGATTTTCCTCAGTGGTGTGGAGTAGGCAACAGATTAAAAATAATGGACTTGGTGAGTTTGAGCTGTGTAAAAATCTATTCCAGCTAAAAATGAGCCTGATTTTAGATTCCTCAATGCAAATACAGCATTGGGGCAGACCCAAATGCACGACAGGATTATGGATGGGTTTCACCTTGTTAACTTAATGCAGCCTCTGAGTTATCTGAACAATTCATCTGCAACTGCAGGAAGGGTTGAATTCATAAACTGCAAAATGTCTCCAAGTCCATCAGCCCCCTGTGCACTGCTCAAGTCTGTCAGGAGAGGAATTTCATCCTGAGGCCCAGACTCCAGTGGCTCAATATCCAGAGAAACTGCTGCACTTTTGGCACTTGTGGGGTTGGTTCTGGAGATGTCTTCCAGTGGGGAAAAGAACATCAGGGTCTGGCCCTTGTTGTGTACAAAAAAACCCCAAAAAACAGTTAATCTGATAAGGGGACTCAGTATCTTGTAGGGTGAATGATGATTGTAGGGAACAAATAAATTCATTTTTAACATCTGCAGGTTTTCTGTACTAGTTCAAGCTTCAGTCACCCCATGCATAGCACAAAAAGTGGTTTTGCTGCTGTAAGATAAGTGAATTTTTTTGGAATATCTAGATAAAGATATCCATAATCCTTATTAATAGATGGTATAGCTGGGCATCTCCTTCCTGCTCAAAGTCAGCAGCTCAGATTCTGGAAAATCTCACCCAAACTTTTATGGACCCTTGCTGGGAGACTCTAAATTCATGGAAAATTCTCATTATTGCTGACACAATCTCTGGCTTAGAGGTATTCTGACTTCTTGGAGGCTGGGAGGGTATCCAAGCAAAGGATACGTTCACTCTGTCTTCATATTTTCCTTTTTCTTAGGACTCAAACTCCCAAAACTCTTCCCTTTTAGGGCAAAGAGAACATCACCTTCCTGTTGGCATTGCCTTTTTTCTTCTTTTAACAACTCCCTTTATATAAATAACACAGGACTGCAGGATCCCATCCTCTTGCACAAATGTGGATTTGTGGTAAATCACTAGATTATATTACTAATGAAATTAATTTTAGAATTATCTTTTATTACCCTGTGACTTAATTAACCACCAGGACCAACAACGGGATGTGAGTTTATCTAGCAGCAAGTCTGAAAATAACAAAGATCAGGCTGGAGACAAAAAGAAAGGGATAAAGAAGAGCTGAAAATCCAGGGATAGAACAAGACACAGAAAACAAGCAACAAATACTCTCTGAATAAGCCCTTAAAATTGGTGATAGCTACACAACCATTTCAAAACTCTCCATCAAATATCTGTCATAGGGGGGAAAAAAAGGATTTCATGCACTTGGGCAGCCCCTGCTAGAAAAATCCTTGAGTTTTACTCCTCCAGTTGAGTCAGAGGATTTTGTCTCTGGTTCTTTTCCTTACAGGCTATAATTCAGTTCATTTATTACAATGAGGAAATCAGAACCTTTTCAAAACGTGACAAATCTGGACAATTCTTGGTCTGAATCACCTAAAACAAGATTTGGATGCTGCTTGCAGGATTTTGCGATGATTGTTGTTGGGAAATAGGAATGCAAAATGCTGGATGTTCCTTTAAATGAACCATCTTTCGGTCAGCTTTTAAAAGTGCTGCAGTAAGTAATAGATGAATTTTGGGATTAGCTGGCAGTCAGGAATAGTGGGGAGCAGATTGTGTCCTGCTTGGGTGAATTCCATGTACTAAGATTTCCACATCTTATTTCTTTACTGAGTTCAGGAACTCAGAGGAGGATGTGTGTGCAAACAAATCAGGATAAAACCAATCCATCAAAAATGTAATTTCAGAAACCTGCCACTGCCAGCACACTCCTTTCCGACCCCCTTTGAACACAGCAGAGCTTCCTAACACTGCTTTTTTCCCGAGTTTTTGTTCATTGATCTTAGTGTAACACCTCGAGCCCGCGGAGGGGGTTCCTAGGGAAGGAGCCAGCTGTGCACGTGCAATTGCAGGTGTGGTATTCTTCCTGCCTGAAGAGGGCCAGAAACCCTGACACATCCCCAGAAAATGCATTTCCAGCACTTTAGCATTTCCTCTAACTGATACCACATTTAATAGGGAAAGAAAAGGAGCCCAAAGACTTCAGGAAGAGCTTGGTGATGGAAGGGAGTAGTGCTGGAGCAATTATTCCAAATAATTGAAATATTCGTTGCACCTGCAGACAATCCTCAATTTATTAAGATTATCTGCATGTGATGAGCAAATCTGAGGTGAAATAAAGCAGAATTGTGTCCCTGGGCTTGGTGAAACCCAGAATATCATCGCTGAACCACAAGCAGGGGCTCTGCAAGCTGTTGGGCTGTGTGTCCTATTGATTTAATATGCTCCTAATCAGTACATAAAGCTATAGGCCTGCAGTGTTAATTTTTCATATGCTTACAAAGTACC